CACAGTTGAACCAAATGGAATCGGTTATTCTGTGACAAACATTTCTGATAAATCTAACTATCGGGGTTCTCTAATTGTTTTACCAGATATGCTTTTTTTTAATGACTCATATGTTTTTGACTAAATTTCTTGCAAAAATGAGAAAAATATGTCTGATGCCTCAAATAATAATCAAGAACCTGGTGACATTTTGACTGATGCTGAATATCCTAGTTATCTATTATCTAATGATGAGATTTTCAGTAAATCTGATGAAGATGTCTCAGCAGAATCAAACTCTTATGATCTCATATCAAGTGCCGTTGATCCTCACCCTGCAGTCAGTTCTTGTGAATTGTCTATTCAATGTGGGGAAATATGTTTTAAATAGAGACACATTAATTGTAACTTGGGGTTATGAGAAGGACAAAGTCTGGACTTAAACTCAGAATCTTCAGAGAAAGGGAGATGTTATATCCCGGCGAGAATTATGAATGGTAGTTTTCGGGAACTATTTATGAGCCAATATGATGTACATATTTTTACTGTATAAGTGTTAAGTAACTAAACTATGCATATTCGTGTTTCCTTTATTTTTCCTTATTTCAACCCACTGACTATCATTATACAATTTACAGCTCTTGAGTTAGACCAGGTCCATTAATTACAGCCTCCCACATTCACACCTACTTTCGGGTAAATCTTGTACGCATGTTTATTTTCTGTTTTATGGTACGATGTGGTCCGTTTGGTTTGTATATAAACCCAGTATGCTTGAAATACATGACTCATATTGCGGAGGCTGAGATTGGTGTTCTGGACTTAACAAGCAGAGCTATGCGGGAGGCAGGACCGATAAAGACTAGACTGCTCATACGGCTTAACGAGTTAATGATACAGCCGATAAATCACTGTTCTCTAACTGCAGCCAGAGGCTATAACACTCGCTCGACGTCATTTACCTCTTAGTTGCAATAAAGTTCATGTGGGTTCCTGTGATGCTGCATTTTTACGCTCGATTCCGTTAGAATTTATATACTCCCAAGGAGACTGAACAGACCTGTTCTACCTTCTTGTTGTACGTCTTCCTCATGTCTGGTTCTTGTGAAATATCTATCCCACACCATCTATCGCCACATCAGAAATGAATTTTTAATTCTCCATTTCCAAAGTTTCTTTTCTAGGTCTCTGATCACGGACATATACTAGTGTTTCGGCCTTGTGTAAGGTGTCTTCCTGCTGTCGTTCCGTCTTGGTTGGTTTCATTGCACCAATTGCTGTATGCAGTTACCGTCACGTCAGTGTTTCCATCGGAGACTTTCTCTGTGTCGTTCTACTGCTGAGTGTACTCATGTATACGAATAGGAATCTCGGCATGACAGCCGTCACAGATTCTTCTGCTTTCGCTTACAATACAGCTCTTTTAAATTTGTTCACAAACGTTTGGTTGGTCTGCTAGATTGTGGATGATATGTTAAAGAGAGAATGTGGACGATGGCATTTCGATAGGGAGATCAGTGAATGTGAGAGATGTGAATTGATATTCGTTAACAGTTACAACCGTCTCTGGTAGAACGTGTCATGCAAATATATTGTTAATTCTTTTGATGTTTTGTGTATCGCCCAACGTAATACTAGAAGGATTTCAGGCCACTTTCGATCTGTGTCTACTAACATGAATTAGTACACTTCGGACCATGGATGCTCTCGATTTCGCAAATTTACTCCTTCGAATTCTTCTGAAACAATCGATGCACACTGATACTGTTCACACTTGTTTACTGTCTTCTGTGTGAGCGTTCACATCTGGCTGATATATCCACGTGCAATCGATTTCATTCGAGCTAATTAGTTATGGGTGGCATGAACTGAACATTTCTGTACTACATTGCTCACATGACCGTTTCACTCACTTTTCTCAACAAGAGAATCATTTGAAGGTTCGGTATTCTAACTGAAGAAGTTCAACTGAGTATCCATCCCAGACGGGAAATAACAGCAACAGCATTATTGCCGTGCATTTGATCCCATCGATCACTTCCTAGTCTCAATTTCTATTACTCGTTGTTATAACACATGAATAAACATAAATTTGAATTATAATCTTCGACATTACATAGTGTGCCTTTTTCATAAGTTGGTGTGAAAATAAGAAAGTCATACCGTCCAGTTCAGAATATACAAATATGTTCTCTCCAGAATGATATATCCGTGCAATATCATTTAGTGTTTATGACGAAATCCAAACCGCAACATTGTTCATTGAGGCTTTGCTAGGTTAAGAGCGGTTACCAGTTCACTTGGTGTGCTAACGGAACTAAGATTTGTGATCGAAGACCAATAAGCTAGCTATCCTGATGCGTCCAAGACCCACTAACTAGAGTGAGGGGTCGGAGCTTGGAACGGGATTGTATATCCCGTAAGCCGGAAGCACGATTGAATAATAACAGACACAAATCAAACGTATATACACAGCATAAAACTGTCCTTGGAAAGCGTTGCAAAAATATTCTACTAAAATACACAACGGACCAACAGCGTTAAAGATTCTGCCAAGTGGGAAATACGGCATGAAGGTGAAAAGAGCGCTTTTGGCGCGAAAACAAGAAAATTCAAGTTTCCAAAATCAAATTACAAAATTAATGAATTTACCAAGTGAGTTCTGGGGACCTCAAATCCCCAACATAAAATAGAGAAGAACTTGGTCACACTGAATTATATGTATGAAAATTGCATCATATGTGACAGATGCTTTATCATCTCATAGAAGTAGTTGAAGCCACATGACAACATAAAATCACATAGTGGTAATGTAGTGTTTCTCAGGATGGGCAGTCAGAGACGTAGATAGAAAATTTGAGATGTGTTTGGTAGGAAGACGGAATTCTGACATTCATTTTTCCACAGAAGACAAGGACAACGAGGTTGCATCGAATAAGCTGTGTGACATCGTACAGTTAGTCGAAACATTCCTTCACTTCAAATTCATGGAAATTCAAGGTTACCTACTGATAAATACAGTGCACTACACAGTGAATAAAAGTCACGCATCCATGTAAAACCAACTATTATGCACTCATTAGACAAATCAATATACTGTTTAAGAGTATTTTGCCGCCTTGAAATAATTTGGAGCTGGATATTGTTTCGCGACGAAATGTCAATGGTGAATCTAAATACTTTGCTAACTATCACGGAATACAATGGTTTCCACCAGATTCACATGATGAATTGACTGGTTGTTAATCATTTTCTGTCACATGAAACACTCAATCACTAATGTCATTTGACAATTTCAAGTATTTATTGGTTGATCACTGATGTCACGATCCGACCTATTCTAGTCGAGATTACTAAATATCATTCTTGTTGAATGATTTTCAGCTTGAGTGGACTACGGTGTTAGTTTGATTGCAGGGATCGTTTTATTTCACTTATGTAGACGCTAGAAATAAACATCTGACACAACTACAATCAACGTTAAAACAAATCAATTACAGTATCTTCGATTATATGCTGGATCAAATCGACGTGATTATTGTAATCGTTTTGTATATTATGAATTTTGATTTCTTCTCTTTATTCACATTGAACTTCGATTCAGCTTTACTCAGTGTGAAGCAAACGGTCATATTAGCGGTTCACTTATGAATAGTTACACCTTCTGATCATATTCGAGAACTTTGTTTCTACTGAACACCATTTAGAACTGTGATGAGAACAGCTGTATTGATAGTACTAGATATGCAACCTCACTTTGTAAACAGAATTAAAGCCTACTATTTCCACGTTGCAATTATCATAGGGAATATTTTTGTGTCGACTACATGGGATGGCTTCGTCAGATTAGTTTGGATTTTCTATTACTCATGTTGTGATTTCACGTTTGATGATTGGATGAAATGTGTATATCAGTGGTCGAGGAAATGTATGTATAATTAGTCTAGATGGCAAGATGTATGTTGTAACGTCATGGATAATGAAACTCTCAGTGAATATCCACGGAATGAAGATGAGGTTTTCGTAATTAAACGACATTGAAGTTCGAATCAACAGAACAACAATTTCACCTACACCTCACTTTAGAATTTCACTTCGATGAAACTAATCATTCGTGATTATCATCTAAAATTCATATTTTTGTTATGCAGGGTTGAATGAGAGCCTATTGATACGGTGAAAATCAATTAATAAACCAACTACATTTATTGAGATGTCCTTCATAAATGAGTCTGATTAGGTTGTTATATTATTACAGTATGATTGATATTCCTTCGGTGATGCACAGAGCACACACTATAAATAAAGTCTTTTGATGTAATCGTTATGCTTGGAAATGTTTCATGGAAACAGAACATACACTGATGACCCATAAACTATGTTCACTAAATGTTTATTCAAATATATAACCCTATATTCTCTCTGCTGAAATCTAGTCTGTTCTGCCGACATTTTATATTTTGCATCGAGAGGAAAAGGCTCATATTCTCTATGAATATCATTTCAAGATTTAAAATAATTTGGGTAGGTAAAACAGCACAGTTGATAAAATGGAAATATTTCATAGTCAGCATTAAAGAATAATCTTAATTATCTAACCACTTATAAAACGGAAGTGCTGGACGGATGTTTCCTCCAAGTAAGATGCCACTCAGAAGTGAGTTTTTATCATCCAGATACCACGTTTCAAACTTAGGATGTTCAGCTTCACCCATTAGTCTAGAGATCAGGTGTTTACACCAGGAACTGAAAGTCCCGAGTTTGATCATTGGTGGTGGAGTGGTGGATGCTCACTGCTGAGTTGTACCATAATAGAACGAAGCGCCTTTCTAATGTTGTTGGTTTCCGATTTTTGCTTGATCATGATCATTCCATGATGTTGACTATGCAATTGAAAATCTTCCATCAACCGCAATGGTAGATAAATCACTTATCTTGATCCGATCATTTTATTATATACGTGAACTGATTTCTGAAGTCTGACGAGAAGTAAACATTTCGTGTGAGTTGTTTAAATAAAATTGGACTAGGTAAATATATATTTTCCACAAATATCACCATCAAAGTCATTACAATTACAAAATATATTTTGATTATTACATACTAAACTGTTTATTAAAAAGTTGTATAACGGTGAAAGGTTTTTATAATAAATATTCTAATCTAAAGGCACTTCAGTTGTCGTATTATTATTTGGTTGATCACGCTGATCAATCTGCTGGTTATCATCTAATGGATCGGGTAACGGTGGTGGTCCGAATGGAGATTGATGAATCGGCATCCATGTTATTTGCGGACTGTGACAGTAAAAATGATGATTGTCTTCCATTAGTTTTACGCATTTAAGTGCAGAACCCACTGACCAAAATCCACTTTCCCTTAAATCACTAACACATACACCAGGTGGAATTATAATATAATGACCGCGTAATCCGTGTCGCCTATGTAATAAAATAAAGTTATGAAAGTTTCGGCTGGACAAAATAATAATTTTAATAATGGTTGAGTGTTTTGAAAATGAATTAATTGTAACTGTTTCATTTGTATCGAATCACTGAATGTTTCTATCAAATAATAGCAGATTCAAACCAATCAGTTGAAATGACTTATCCAAACACCTCGTTGTACACTGATGATACTGATAATTTCGAATCGGCAACTCACCTAATGACAACTAGATATAAGATTGTTTTTAGTGGAGACATTCCTATTTAGACATATAGATTCTTGTAAATCTTTATCATATCAATCTTTTCAACACATCATGTCTTGTAATATAATCCACTCACGATTGTGGCGCGAAATTATTCTGTCAAGTTATGTTGATCAAAGTCTGTAATTTATTTATTTCCTCTAACTAATTAAAAGTTTGCTGTGTATGATGACTCAGCCAGTAGACATTGAAAGAGATTTTTTGACTAAGAACACATACTCAGTATTATGAACCAATTCGAAATCGGTTTGTTTTCACAATTCTTTCCTCCTATAATTTGTATAGATGGTTCATTATCCTGAGAGCAAACATCTTGAAAACTAGATGTAATAGGTACTCTATGAAAGTGAAGTTTTCATAGTTCGGATTTGAATGAAATGTCTCAGGATTATAGCTCACTTAACGCTTGTATAGATGTATGCGATTCCATTATGTACATGCAATTTCATGACGCTGACTGATTGTGATTAGAATACAATGCTTCACTGATTGCAGTTAACTGTTGATTCGATTTCAGATTTCAAAATAACTATCTTACAAACAACACTCACTATTGCTCAGAACGTATGACATGATTAGTACAGTGTTTCATGTTATTTAAAACTCGTCAGCTAAATGTATCAGCATCCTACAGTTGATGTTCACTGATGGATTGCAATCCTAAACAGCAAGCGAACAATATCAAGTGAACTGGTGTATTTCAGTTGTGATAATATCCTCTTTTAAATTGTTCCATATTGATTGTATTTCGTAAAAATTACTACAAGGTATCCAGTTTAACTTCATGAATACACTATTTAATAAGTGAAAAGGTGTCAGCTTAGTTTTCTACTTCTTGTCAATGAAATACGTTTAGAGTTCATTGTGATAATCTTATGTAGTAAATCTAAATATAATTAATAACGTTATATACTTGAATATGATGAAAAGCATTTCAATAGTGTAAAACTTTGCGAAAACCATAAGTAAGAATGGGAATTAATTTTGCTCATGGTAATATCACACAGGAAGTGACCGAATAATCTACCATTTCAAAATGTGTAACGTACATTCCACATGAAACATATAAGTGAACAATATTTTAGGAACTTACGAATACACGATCCAGTATCTCGTCATCAAATAACTGCGGTGTGAACAAATCATATTTGTATAATACATAAAATATGGATCAATATAACTATTACTGTCGCAAAAATCAACCCAATAATATCGTCCAAAAAGTGAAGCAAACAACCGTAAACAGTCTGATGATTGCAGTGTTGCCTGCAACAGAGTGGATTGTGATTCAGTCGAATTGGTGTGAGACTCAGTAGTATTTACCACTGTCTCAAGTGACCATTCTGTGAAGCATGTAAGTACAACAAACAGGATGATGAAACTAGTTGACATTATTCTCCGTGAAGCAGTGGAATAAATTTGTGTAGTTCCATTTATACTCTTTTCAAGCATATGATTGAGGTCAGGTTTAGCACTATTGACCTCGTCATAATTCTAAATGTCATATTGTGTGAGTCATTTATAAATTCCTCAACACGTATTTGTATTAGATTATTCTAATGATTTATCATTGAAATATCTACTATTTGTAACTAGATCACACATAATAGTTTATTTAATTAAAGAAAATGGAAGTGCTATCATCTTAAGAAAGATTGATTCAGCAGGTTCACTTTTAAATCTGTATACAATCGCAAATTTGTGGTTGTTCTTCGAAGTGATAATAATTGTAATAATGGTGACAATAAATATATTACCGTCTAGCAACTGCTCAACACTGAAGTTTGGCGAAAATAAACCTGTTCTCTGTATATTCAAATGTCTGTACAATATTACTCAGTGTTTATGATAAGATTCATCCTACAACATTCATCAATAACGATAGGAAAACAGAGACGAACTTTACCAAACAGAGTGTAAATTATTCCAATCTCTATAGTTTGTTGCCATCAACTCTGGTTTGCTGAAGACGTAGTTGACCATTTTGTAGGCAATGATTCACCTGTTGTAACTTCGAATCTCTTTATATGACCGTAATGAGAAGGGCGCTCACTACATCCATAAAACTCATTTTTGCGTGTTTTGTAGAGGAAATCACTGAATGTTTGTTATTATCAGTGTGATTACTTATTAAACGAAATAAGTCGTCTTTCCGACAAAACTCTTTTGTCCATCTGTACTGAACTCCAAAGCAATAATTTTCACACTTGAACTTGGAAACAAACAAATTACTCACATTCTACATGTTTAAATGACAAGAAAACGCAACGGAATTTCAAGAAGATCCATTTACAAGAAATCCTTGTGGAATGGCTAACTTGTCAAGTTTTCACAGTTGAATCCATATCAGCTAGAACCGAAACGTAATCATATTTTTCGTTGTATGGATGCATAGAATTTGTATTCCTGAAGTCATAGATATCTAACTGAACCTTCTTAAGAAAATACTTGTCAGAAATGGGTATCCTTCGTTATTCATTGACAAAATTATAAAATCAAACCAAATGAACCACAAATAACTTTTATAGAAAAGAAAATATTATGTAGACATCCATTTCAAAGACGAGCCTCCAAATGCCCTGGTACGGCCGAAAATGGGGAGAGTCCGCTCTCCCTCTCGAAATGCTCTCACATGGCCACGCGTATACAACCACTGACAGGAAAGTCCTACTCACTGCCTTCTCGTGGCGGGGGTGTTGTTCACGAAAATGAGAGGACGAAAAGCGAATGTCCGGCACTTTAACCGGATTCCAAACCAATGGTGCACATCGGCTCCAGTATCCTGCGGGAACAAATGGCGTATGAACCAGTTGTTGGTCACCGGCTACCATGGGACTGCATCTCCTTACGATGCTCCACTGCCTTGTGGATCAGACCCTCAGGTCGAAGGCTCGGGGTGTGGCCCCCTAAGAAAACCACCTGTTTCGGTCTGGGCACCCGGGCAGTATCACAGCCCTCACACATATCGAATGAGATTTGTGTGGCGCATATGTATTTGGTGCCTCTTTGTACCAATATCTATGTGTTGAAATAAAGAAATAAATAATAATTTCAAAGACGAAGTATTTACATACGTTATGAAGTGAAAAATTTTCGCCTGTCTAAATATCAGCAACTTTGATAATCATGTTTTCAAGATGATCAATAATCATCAATAATCTTTGGGATATTTTACCTCAATCAAGCAACTCAACGTTATTGATCAGTTTAATTGTTCATGTGAGTTTAGGTATATAATTGGTTCAACGCTTATTTTATCCAAAAAAATCCCAGGAAATTGTCCGTCTTGACTGCAAAGAGGTTAAAATTGCTCATTAGAAACTTTAATATCCGAAGATCTTATGAACACAGATCAATCAGTCAAAGCGAACTCTACAATTTAGGTAGAAGGCTGCCAAAGACAGTTATACTGCATCTTCTTAACATTGCCGAAGCAATAGCCATACATCTAAAAAAATGAAGAAATTGTGTTTTAAAAACACTTATATAACTTCATTTACAATAGTTCTGATCTCTTTTAGTTTTCTTTCTTGTTCGTACTTTTCTTTATTCACAGATATTTGCATCCTTTCTATCTTCTTCATTGACTTTTTACCCCCCTCCCTCTACAAGTGATTTCTTTGTGTTCCTATGATCCTCCATATTAAAGTTCATTTCAGTTTTAACATTGTATTTTATCATGCTAAGCTTTTCTTTATCAATTATAATATCCCTATCTATATTCCTTATGAGAACGTTAAAATGGCTTTTTTTAAATCCTACCTCAATGTTACCATGTTTAACAAGATTTTATTGCTACTGTTGTTGTAATTATTATAACTTCTAAAAATATGTATACATTTGCCAAATAGAAGACCCTTCTATGCTCCTCCGGAGCTAGTTATATGAGCCGTACTTAAAGGGTGTTGTCCCAGAATACTCGTGAACATATGGAATCTCTCACGTTCCTGGGAAAGATCATCTATGAACAAGGAGGACCAGGTGCAGATGTAAAGGTGACGATTGGCAAAGCAAGGATCGCATTCCTACAATTGAAGAACATAGAGTTCAAAACAACCGTCAACCAATGTCAAAGTCAGAGTTTTCAATACGAAGCAATAGCCATACATCTAAAAAAATGAAGAAATTGTGTTTTAAAAACACTTATATAACTTCATTTACAATAGTTCTGATCTCTTTTAGTTTTCTTTCTTGTTCGTACTTTTCTTTATTCACAGATATCTGCATCCTTTCTATTTTCTTCATTGATTTTTACCCCCCCCCTCTACAAGTGATTTCTTTGTGTTCCTATGATCCTCCATATTACAGTTCATTTCAGTTTTCACACTGTATTTTATCATGCTAAGTTTTTCCTTCTCAATTATAATTTCCCTATCTATATTTCTTATGAGAACGTTTAAATGGCTTTTTTTAAATCCTACCTCAGTGTTACCATGTTTAACAAGATTTTATTGTTACTGTTGTTGTAATTGTTATCTCTTCTAAAAATATTTATACATTTGCCAAACAGAGGACCCTTCTATGAACAAATCTTCTTTATTTTATATCTCAATGTATGATGACGATAGATTCCTCCATTTGTTTATACAGTTCCAACTGCTTCTCCGGAGCTAGTTATATGTGCCGTACTTAAAGGGTGTTGTCCCAGAATACTCGTGAACATATGGAATCTCTCACGTTCCTGGGAAAGATCATCGATGAACAAGGAGGACCAGGTGCAGATGTAAAGGTGACGATTGGCAAAGCAAGGATCGCATTCCTACAATTGAAGAACATAGAATTCAAAACAACTGTCAACCAATGTCAAAGTCAGAGTTTTCAATACGAACGTCAACACAGTTCTACTGTATGGGGCTGAAACGTGAAGAACTACCAGAACCATGAAATAAAAGTACTTGTATTTAAAAACAATTGTTTACGTAAGATATTGAATGTTTGTTTGCCAAATACCATCAGCAACAACTTACTATGGGAGAGAATAAACCAGCTTCCAGATGAGGAAGAAATTAGGAAAAGACGTTAGAAGTGGATAGAAGATACATTACGGAAATCACCAAACTGCGTCATGAGAGAAGCCACGATCCGGAATCCTGAAGGGAAACGGGAAATTGGAAGGCCGAAGAACACGCTACGTTAGGACATTGAGGCAGACATCGAAAGGATGAATAGCAACTGGAAAGGGCAGAGTTGGATGGAGAATGCTGGTGAGCCGCCTATGCTCCTCCACCAGGGCTAATAGGCGTATATTATTAGACATGAATAAATATTTGTAATAAGATAACTTAGGAGATACATTAAATCAAGCCTCAGTGAATAAATTACAGTTTACAACTTCGTAAATAAATAATAACTTAAGAGAAATAAATCAGGAAAATTTATATTTGAGTGATATTTGCAAACGGTAAGATATTACAAGTGTTTCGTTTCACTTTGAAAATGTGTCGACAATGAACGGAACATTGTTATCTCGAGTATCAATTGTTGTTGCATAATTTCGCCAATTCTATACCGCTAACTTGTATGTAATTATAATCATAAAAATTATCTGTGTATCTAATTGTATGCACCAGTTAACGTGTGAGTGGAAACAGTATAGCGCAAGTTGTGAAGTACTTGGTGAAATGTTCCCTTAAACGTACACATGTATTTTACTCAACATAATCATAATAAGTGCTGATATATTTGATGTAAAAATTATTTGGATTTCATTTACTATCTCATATAATTCTAACAAGCGGTTAATGTCTTCACTTTTATCCTCTATGATTATTATGTCATCTATATATCGTTTATACAGACCCATTTTTCGAATTGTGTCTCATCCCATTTTGTCTATCAATTTACTTGTATGTGTGGAAACACGTACATACAGAGGAGCAATCGTGATTCGCAATTAAGGGTGGGTGAACACATGCCAAAATGGTTGCAGTATCAGATAAATTCCAATGGTCAAATAAGATCACAGGATAGACAGACATCGTCCTCCATTGCGAAACATTTGATTGAGACGGGTCATAAGGTTAAGGTAAACAATTACTGCACGGACATTTTTGTATTTTTTTCGAGTGAAATTTTTTTCATCCCTTTTGAAAAAATTCTTCATCCCCATCTTCCAATAATTTTCATTCTATTTCATTCAATCAAATAACTAGTTTTGAGTTCGTTAGAAATGGTCGTTTATTTCTTAAAATCGATTTAAAGTATGAGGACTTGACGACAGAGCACATTTTCTTACACTTATGGACGGTAGTAACATGGGAAGCATGAGCTCCGTCGTTCCTCACGTTGTCACAGAAACCCATAACCTGTTCGTTCTTGAGCACATTGTATCTCGTAGCGTTCCAAACTCTTGGAGCGTTGAAGAGCGCCATTAGAACTTATGAAAGAGCCACGTACTGCCA